CACCAGGTTGGCACTGGACCTGAAGGTATGTGCAAGGGAACCCCATCTGCCTTAATGGCAACTCTGGGCCAGCCAGGATCTACTGACCAGAGGCCTAGGGGAGAGACAGGGTGGCAGAGGGGTGGGTTATCAGGAATGAAAGTGGAGAAGCCATGGGGGCAGTAATTTGGCCCTCTCCAAGCAGGGACCCAGATCACGGCTGCACTGAGGCCTAGAGTGGAGGGTGGATGTACAGTGGCCACAGTGTGGGAGGCAGCTGAGCCACCCTGCCCTGGCCACCTGCTCTACTGGCAGTCCTGCCTTTACTCCAAGACCAAACATGGGGAGTGAGGAAACTGGGACAACACCAATGTGAAGTTGTGACACTGATGCCAGGAGCCCCTGCCTCCCAGCCAGTGGCCCCAGGTCAGGCCAGAATGAGGACAAGACCAAGAAGGCAGGGCCAGGCCACATTCCACTTGTGAGGCCCTTAGAGCCTAAAACATGTTGTGGACGTTGCCTACTTTTCTTTCTTTTGCAACACGGGATGGAACCTAGGGCCTCAAGCACACTAGGCAAGAGCTGTGCCACTAGGCTGGCCCCTGTCCTGTCACTGAGACCTTGGAAAAGAGCCGGCGGGTGACCAACAGTTCTGCTACAACTCACCTGCGTCCACAATGGCCTCATAGGTGACTTCCAACAGCAGCCGGAGCTGGGGGTCCATTGTGTGGGCCTGCTTGGGGTGGACTCCAAAGAAGGAGGCATCGAACTTGGATAGGTCCTTCAGCTTGCCACACCGCCGGGGCAGGCCATACAGCCCTGTGGGACAAAGCAGGTGTCTTCCTCCTGACAGAAGCACCCATGGGCATCATAGGCCCCTGCAGCCAGGGTAGAATCCAGGAGGTTCCCTGGGAAGGGTACATAGTAGCTCTTGCATAGGACTGGTGACCCTAGCATGATCTCCAAGAAGGATCTCCTGACAAAACACCCAGAACCCAGCTGGAAGACCCTCTAAGGGCCAGAGGCTGGCTGGGGCCCACCATGCTGACTCTCACCTGTCCATCAGGTAGAGCTGGTCTATGGGGCTTGAGAGTCAAACCAGCCTCTCTGAGCACCTGACACCCTGTTGGCTCCAGGCACAAGCAGGAACAGTGCTGCCCAAAGGGTTCTTGGCCTGGCTACAAGACCTCAGCAAGGGAAAGGGCAAAGCTGGCCCTCAGGCCCTCTGTGGTACTCACCTGCCTTCCACCGCCGGTCATCATCTGTGACCATGTCCACACCACCAATGAGGTTGGCCCAGAACTCATGTAAATTCTCTGACTCAGGCAGCTTCCCGGACATACCAGCAATCACTACCTCCTCCATGGCTCCTCTCTGCAGGGAGGCAGCACAGGCCGCACATGCAGTCAGAACCACCCCAACACACCCTATCCACAGTCTCAGCACCCATAAAGTGGCTACCCTCACAGATCCAGCAAAGTAATTAGGGTGTTCAGGGGCTGGCTGGAGGCTCTGGGCAGGCCCCAAGTTTGCTTTGGGGCTCCCGAGGGTAGGGACTGGAAGCCAGGAGCTCCCGGTCCTGCCCCCAGCTCTCACTGAGAGGGCTAGGTGCTGGGGGCCTTAGCACTGGCCTGGCATCTCTGAGGCCTTGAACCGGGGTGACCCTACAGTGCCGGCTGCTGAACAATCTCTTGCTGCTGGGTGCCCCATCCCAGGAACAGAATGGAGCGGGGCTCTAAGAAGCCGGCAAGGTGCAGAGCCACCCCTGGTCCCAGCACAGAGGGGGAGCAGAGGCGCCACCTCAGGCCACTGAGGAGCTGTGCTGCCCTCTGTGCTGAGGGTGGAGGCCGCTCCCACCCAAGCGGGCCTAGATGCTGCGGCGGGAAGAGACCTAGGCGACAGGCCTGAGCACTGCGGGTGCCAAAGCCTGGCAGGGGTAGGGGAAAGGTGGCCCCGGCCGGTAGGACTCTTCCAGCAACCTGGGGCACCGGTCCTGCCAGATGCGCACAGGTGAGGCCGTGCCCAGGCTGAGAAGGCAGCGGGCTCGGGGCCCACGTCCCCGAGGCACCTGCCCAGGAGTCCTGAACAGGCCCACAGAACTCAGGCCGCGCGGCCACGATGCTGCGTGGCGGATTCCGCGCCGCCCCAGAGCGAGGGGAGAGGCTGGGCCAGCCCAGCCATTTCCGCCGAGCTCAAGGCCTCGTGCGCGCCCAGCGCCGCACCCGGGTCCTCCCCAGCCAGCGCTGGCGCCCCGCAGTGAAGCCCCCGTACGAGGAAGGCCCCGGATATCCACGAGGGCTGGCACAGAGTCGCGGCGCCCGCCCCTCCGCGGCCTGGCGCCCACGTGCTGGGGCCTCCCCCCGCGCACCGATCCCGGCAGTCGGCGCCGAGACCACGGGGCCCAGAGGGGGCCGCTTTGTGGGCGCGGGGCCGGAAGTCGGCGCCCACCCGCCAAGCCCGAGAAGGCCGCCCGCCGGTGCGCTCCGGCCGGGGCTGGGGCCCGCCCGAGAGCCCTAAGGCCCCGCGGCGCCGCGTACCTGGACCAGGCGGCTGGCAGTGACGAAGAGCACGGAGCGCGGCTGGAGGAGCGAGGGGCGCCGCTGCGTCTCTCTGGCTCCCTCTAGGCCGCGCTGGCGCTATTTAAACCGCGGCCATCCCCGCGCGGCCACGCCACATGGGCTGACAGCTTGGCTGCGCCGCCCAGGCCAATGAGCGTCGGGGCTGCGCCCCAGGACCCGGCGCGCCGCCGCCGTGGGGTGATGCCCGCGCGCGCCGCCCCCCGTCCGCGTCCGCTTCCGCTCCCGCGCTAGCCGGAGCTCAGAGCACAACTCCGAAGTCCTGGTGTCCGCGGACCACGTGGGCGCCGCACGCCGGCGGTGCGAGATGGGCGTGCTTGGGCCACACTGGGGACTGTGCAGGGACCATGTGGGGTCACGCGGGGGACAACTCGGGCGCTAGCCTCGGGTACGAGCCCGCGTTCCCGCACTCGCGCGGCCGTCGGGGCGCGCGGGGAGCTGAAGGCGTGGCTTGCTTTGCGGACGCGGCCAATCGAACTTCGGAGTTCTACGCATTGGGCCAATGGCGGCGCGCGAGTGGGCGTTGCTAGGCGATAGGGTGATGGCCGGCGGCTTGCAGCGCGGCGCTGCGCAGGCCGCGGAAGAGCGCGGTCGTTGACCCTGGCTGAGGGCGCAGAGGGCCAGGTTACTACCGGTCATCGCTGCACCGCCGCCGCTGCTCCTGGGTGCGGCCACCCGGGGGACGGGGGGATGCGAACCGCGCATCCCAGAGCCGGGGTAGGAGCGGGACGCTGCGGTGTGCCGGACCAGAGGCCAGGGAGATGAGAACAAAGAAGCCACGGCCGCCTCTTACGGAGGCCCCGCGCTTTCAGTGCCCTTTCTCTCTTCCTCCCTCATGATTCATCTGCTCAAATGGTTACTAAACTTTCGGGGGAAAAATCCAAAATAAAACTGGCAACCCAAAGAACCAGATGGGCCCCAGTATTGGAGTTCACCTGCGAGTCCAGAAAGGCCGTCCTCAGGTCCTTGTCCCCTACCTGCAGGCCCGGGTCACTTAGGAAGAGCCTCTTCTCACGAAGCGAGCAGACCTGGGAGGCACAGCCGTCTTGGCTGACTGCATTTCCTGCTCCAACCACCCAGTGTCCCAGGGCCATTCTAAGCCTGGCTGGCTGATCCATTCCCATGGGTCTCTTGGGTTTGACAGGCATTCCAGACCCCTGCACACTTCTTAAGGCAGTGTAGCCGGTGGATGGTTGGTGATCAGTGGGGTTCTGCCCGCTGCACCCTTGGGCTCAGGTGATGGGCTGAATTCAAAATCTGGACCTGTCCACAGGATGGCAGCTTGGGGCTCAGTCTGAGGCCCTGGAGGGGAGCGTTTCTATGCTTTTTCAGCCCCAGGGCCAGGCCTCACTTCAGGAACATGTGCCCTAAAGGATAGCATTGGGGCCCCTACCCTGCAAGGCATCTAAGAGGGCAGCATCTTGCTTCCAGGAGCGTCAGGAAGGCCTGCCATTGCCTGTGTGCCTAGGTGGAGCATGTTAAGGACATTGTGGTAGCCCTTTGTATATTCACCTGGAATAAGTGGATGAAACCAGTTATAGGAGCACACAGGTTGGTGCAAGAGAGATTTACAAAGCAATGAGACCTAGGCCTGTGATTTGTCAGCCTACCTCAGGGGCCTTGCTGCTGGTGTGGGGTCTCCCTGTGATATCTGTCTGGCCCACACACCTGTGAGCTGGCAGGCAGATGTCACCATCCACATTTTACCTGGATTGCAGGTTGGGGTCTGGGGCAGCCCGTACCCCAGGGTCCTCCCAGAACAGTTGTCTCTTGGGTTCAGAAAGGGGAAATGCTGCTGGAGGGAGGGCACTTAGTGAAGCTGAGATCAAAACTCTCCCTAGGCTCTGCTGTGGTTTGGATGTTGGGGAAGAAAAGGCCAAGCAAGGGCTCTGGGAAAGTAGGTGTTGGACAGGCCCACAAGACAGCGTCCTTACGGCCAAGGGAGCACATCTGTGGAAGTGTGGAGTGGGGCAGGGTGAGCTTCATGATGTAGTTTTCTAGTAGGGCAGTGTGAGTGCATTCTTGTGACACTTGAAGTGACAGTGTGCCTGTGTGTTTCATCCTGGCAGGTGTCCTGCCCTGGGCACCCAGGTGGCAAAATGCTTTACTGTTGTCCTTTGTGGGGAGTGAGCGTGGAAGGCACTGCTCTCCTTGGGTGACTTTCATCTACCAGCACTCAGCAAACACCCCAACATGCCAAAGGCACCTGGGCAGGGCCACCTGGCGTCCTGGTTCTCAGTGGGGTCCCTCATGAGGCACTGTCTGGGACACACTTTGCAGCTGTGCTGCTGTATGTGCCACCAGGCTCTGGGGAGGGCCAGTGTCATGACACACTGTATGGGTGGCTGTGGGCAGTGACACAGGCAGGTGGCAGAGACCAGGCCAGGATCTGGCACGCAGAACTAACATTCCCAAGCAGGACAAATAAACAACATGGCCAGCAGATGTGGCAGAGAGGTTTTAATAGCTCTGTGATCCTCTAAGGAGGCCGTCTCAGCAGTATCTGGGAGCCTGCCTTGCAGCTCTCGAGCCCCACTACATGCCACGTGTGCACCCACCCTTGATGTGGAGGGAAAAGCACAGTCCCAATTCCTGGCCCTTGTGGGTCCACTGTGTCAAGGAGCCAAAGAAGTCAGTCCTTCATGTTGTAGTTGCGGATCCGGGGATGCAGCTGGCAGCTTTTAGGTCTTGCAGAATGAGAGGTGGAGGATCTGGTGGGTCTGCTCCTTGACTGTGCTGCCATCTTCATCCCCTCAATGGCCAAGGTCTCCAGAAATGGCATCCTAACAGGGCTCCCTTCAGCTTCCTGGTGGCTGTGGGCTGTTGGAGGTGCTGGGGACTCTGCAGGAGAAAAGAACAGACGGCACTGTCAGGAGTGCAGGAAAGAGTGATCATGGGCTCACACAGCTGGGGTCCTAGGTGTGGATGGCTCAGACCTGGACCGCTTGCCCTGCCTTTCTTCATGGGAGCTACTGCATGGCCTTGCTCAAAAGCAGCTGCTATGTTGGGATCCTGGCCAGGGGTGGGTACAACCCATCTCTGTAGATGTGAGGTCCACAGATGCCCCATGCCTCTCCTGGACATTTGGACCTCTGGCTCTGAAACTGCCCTGCTTCTTGCCTCCCTGTGGTCTGAAAAAATGCAGCTGAGGCAGGAGGATGGCAAGTTCCAACCCAGTCTGGGCAAACTAGGACATAGGAGAGATCCTGTCTCAAAATAAAAAATAAAAGACAAAATGGCTAGGGATGTAGCTTATCCCTTCACCCAGAGGATGCAGACCCTGATTTCAACCCCCAGTGTTAAAAATCAATCCAATCAATCAATCAATCAATCAATCAACCCATGGGAAGATGTAGTTCAGAACTGGCTTGCAGAGGGTGTTTGAACTTGCACAAAACTGCTCCACTTGGCTGTCACACATGAGGCATGCTTGAGGATGACATGTGCGGTCTGTCCAGTGTCTACTGAGTCTACCTCTCCTTATGGGCTAGTGCTGCCACCCAGGGGAGGATCTGGAGGCCCTGGGATGTGCTGAGGGTGGCCAAGATGGGTACTGGACAGGCAGTGGTCAGTAGCAGCCACCCAGCCCTAAGCTGCCTGGGCCCATATTTGGGGATGAAGTCTGGCCCAGAATGGGAAGAACCCATTGGGTGTTGGGCTCCATGCTCTGAGATACCCTGCTTACACCCCTCTTCCCATCCTGGGGTGCTGCTGCTTTGCTGTCTTGTGGGGACCTCATGGGCACTAAGCACTGGCCTTCTTCACCCTGCAGGCTGGCAGGGGTCACACTCAGACCCTGTGCTTCTCTGCCTCAGTTGCCTACTGCGGTAGGTGTAGGGGGGCCTTGGATACCTCAGCCCACTGCCCCAGGCAGTCTCTTGCCCTGCCCTGCCCTCTGGTCAGGGTGTCCTGAGCTGGGGGTTCTTCTTTGATCAGGTCCTGATGTCACCACATTGGGGACTGTCTCAAACACAAGGCCTTGGCTGTCCTCTGCATGACACAGGGACCCCATAGGCTTTACCTACTCTGATCCTTATGATATAAGGCCTGGGGGTTTTTGAAAAAATAAGGTTTAGGGAGAAGGGCCAGCCAGGCCCACAAGATTCTCTGTTGGGGGCCAGCTGACACTGAAGGAGATTGGGGCCTTGTGCTACCCATCTGGGACAGGGGCAAGGAAGACCAGGGTGGCTTCTGAGCTTCTAAGCAGCCCTCAGAGTGGCTTCTGAGCAGCCCTCAGAGCTGAGCTAACTCATACCTTGTCCAGGGCAGGCACAGTATAGCTGGGCTGCAAGCGGCTCTGGCAGGAACACAGAACACTCTGCTTTGTAGCCTCTGGTTTCTTTCAGGCCTTTCCCTGCAGCACCGTGGACTGAGCTGCTGGGTTGCAGTGCAGGGTGGCCTCGAGGCACAGAGCTTTACACTGGGCTCGCGTGCAGGCCTGACCCCACGCCCGGGGTGCCCTCCTGGTGCCGGTGTCAGGGCTAGCTCTGCCTTGGCCAGCTGGCTTGTCTCCCCTCACCCACCTGTGCTGCCCGCTGCCCAGGCCTCAGGGAAATGATGTGGATGCACACCTTGCTGATGACAGGGCCTGCACACTACCTCCTGCTGTCTGCTTGGTCTCTGGGCCAGGGAGATATTTAAGGCTGTGGGGCTCCAGATTGAGGGAAAGGGACAGAACTTGTTGGTCCCTCTTAGCTGGAGCTCCTCCAGGGTCTCTCATGTTAGGTACATCTGTGATGAGATGGTCCCTGCCTATTCCTTGGGCTGAACATCTCATGGGCCCTTGGAGAAGAGCTGGTCACATCTGGTTAGAAGTGGGCCTGACTCCCAGTCTCCCTTTGGGATGCTAAGGGCTCTCTGCTTGCTGACAGGCAGTGCCAGGGTCCAGCTTTCTGGCCCTCAGTGGTATCTCCTGCCTCGGAGCTGTGCCTGGGCCCCAGGGCTGTTGCCCAAGCCTCCTGCCTCCAGGGAGTAGCATGAGTGCCAGTTGGGTAACACTGGGTAAAGGCTGCCTGGGCTGTGAGAGCTCCAGGAAGGACTGATAGCAGTGTTGCCTGCCTCAGGGCTGGGGGGCAGGGCAGGGCAGGACTCAGTTTAAGCTGTGGCCCTGGGCACAAGTGACAAAGGCCTGTTGAGCTCACTGTGGCCTTAGCTGGTCCAACCTTGCCTGTTTCTCTAGGACAGCTGTCCCCTCTTCCCAGACAGCCTGCTCCCTGGGACCCTCCTCATTCACACCCAAGTTTAGCACTCCTCCAGTAGGAGGTCTTCTTCCAGATCATCCTGGCCTTAAAAAAATTTTTTTTTTAATATTAGCAGTTCTGGGAATTGAAAACAGGGCCTTTGCACTGAAATATGCCCCCAGCCCTTTTTTCCATTTTTAAACTTTTGAGATGGGGTATTACTAAATTGCTAAATTGTCCAGACTGGATTTGAATTTATGATCCTCCTGACTCAGCCTCTCAGAGTGCTGGGATTACAGGCATAGGCCACTCCATGTGGTAAGAACCACTTTTTTCAGTCATTCAGGTTTTTTGAGAAAGACAGGTTCTTGCTGTGTGGGCCAGGCTGCCCTTGAACTCACAACGATCCTCTTGCCTCAGCCTCCTGAGTGGTGGGATTACAGGCATGCACCATCATGCTCAGCTTTGAATCATCTTTTTATTAGTGCTTATAAATTCAGTTATATTACACTCTCCACCCTTCAAACCTTGCAAAGTTTCCTTCTCCTATTGGAGTGTAGCCCAAGCCTTAGCCTGGCTCAAATGGTCAATGTGGACAGTGGACATGATTTTGTCCTACAGTCCTGGCCCTGAGTCTCCAAAAGTTGCAAGGTCCCTGGGACCCCATGCCTGAGATATTCACACAGTGATGGCCTGCGCCCCCATCCCTGCATCAACACCCCCTGCCCAACACTGCCTCCGGAAGCAGCCCCTGGTGGAGGGCGCTGGGCTGCATTCCCAGGCCCATTGTACCAACCTCATGGGTGGCGAGCATGTGACAGCCTGGGGCTGGGTAGCTATAGCAGGAGCACCTGAGGGTGTCAAGGGCAGAAAATGCCTCCATCCCCAGCTTGCGATGACCTCACCTGACTCCCTCTGCCCAGGATGGCTGGGTGGCGGCAGGACCTGAGCCGTGGGGAGAGTATGGGGGCCTCAGCCTGGGCAGCAGCCAGCCCCTAGGCCCTCGTGGAGAGCAAAGACAACAGCCAAGCTGGGAGCTGGTCTCCTAATGTCGGACTCTGTACCGAGTGTGTGCAGGGGTGTCAGACAGCATCTAGGGTGGCCACAGAGAGCCCTGGTCGCTTCTTGACACCACCCATAAATGAGGGCCTGCCACAGTGGCTGCCAGAGTTCACCAAGTATTGAGGCCCACAGAGGAGCAGGCCTGGGCTCGCTGGGGTGGTCAGGACTTGGGGATACCTGGCCTGTGGCCTCTTGGCTGAGGACAGCTGTGACAGAGGTGACACACGTTCCCCTGGGCTGCCCAACTTGCCATGGCCAGGCCACTGCCCCCCTCTGAGATCACTCTTCAGAGGTCTGGCTGCTGACCCTTTGGACCCCACAGGCTGGCCCTGCTGCCCTGGAGGGAGTATCAGGCAGGACAGCATGCCTGTGGCACATGCAGGGTGGTTGCAGACTGCAACTAGGCAGCACGCCTGGGTCGGCGAGGCCAGGGAATGTAGCCAGGGAATGTGGCCTGTGCTGGAGGACTGGGAAAAGGCCATCAGCTGGGAGTAGAACTCACAACTCTCCATGCCTGTCTGCCACCTCTGGTCCAGCATCAGCCTCAGGCGAGGAGCGGCAGGGGACCACAGGGACTCGAGGTATGGAGGAGCCCAGGCAGACAAGAGGGCGTGGTGTGCTGAGACCTGCTCTAGCCCAGCCAGGCATGGGGGCAGTGTGGGCCTGCAGGGAGGAGGGGGCCTGCCTGGAAGCGGGGAGGCCTGACACGGGCCTGATGGGAGTGCACATGCCCAAGGCCACACTTTCCCTGGCTTGGTGAGACACAGATAGGCTGCCTGGAGAGGGGCTCCTGGGGGAGGCCACCCTCCTGCCCTGGCTGCTCTCAGCCCCACTATGCTCAGGACAGGCAGAGTAGGTTCTTCTACACAGACGAAGTTCATGGTGGAAAACACATCATTTCCCCAGGGTGGCTGGGCTGTTCTTGGGCAAGGCCCGGTCTCCATCCCTACCCTCCTCCCTGGCTCCTGTCCACACGACATGGGGGCACATGATATCTCTCCCACCCTGTGGACACAGGCGCCCTACATGGGCATCTGGGCTGTTCTTGCGTGTCTGCAGGGTCCCCTGGTCCTCTGCGAGGTGGTTCAGTGCCCCCTGGCATGGTATCTTTCACTTGTAGGTGGATAGTTACTGGCTCCCTCCCTTCTTCCCTTCTTTCTCCCTCCGTCCCTCCTTTCCTTCCTTCCCTCCTTTTTTTGTGGTCTTAGGGATTGAACTGAGTTACATTCCCAACCTCTTTATTTGAGACAGAGTCCCGCTAAATTGCTAAATTACACAGGCTGGGATTACAGGCATGTGCCACTGTGCCTGGATGGGCTATTTTTCACTAGTGTCAATGTGGCCACAGGTATGCATCGCAGAACCTTCAGTCCATAAGAGCTAAACACAATGTCTAGAAACATTGCCTACTGTCCTTCCCAAGCTCCCAAACCAAACCCTCCTGCCTCACTGAGCATTAGCTCTCTCAGGGCAGCAGCCTGACTCACCCATCCTGAGATGTACTCAGGACAGCCAGCATCTCCTCATTCTGTCACCAGGGGGTATGATGTGTTACTGAAGAATGACTCCCACGTTCTCAAGAGCAACCCCACGGGAGTC